AGCCCCAGTGCTGCCAAAAAGAGAAGGAATATACATAATATTTTAAAGATGAAAACTTTAAAAACTTTAGCTAGAGTGAGGCTAAAGAAAGAAGACTCAACAAAGTTAGAGATGACAAAAGGGACATTACATCTGATATCACAGAGGTACAAAGGACCATTAGAGACTATTATGGCTACTCTAAGACAGCCCATCAGAAGTGCTGCAGGGGATGGAGAGCTGTCTGGACACGTCCACCTCTCAGGACTGCGTCACCAACAAAGAGAAAACCTGCACAGATCGATAATGAGTCCTGAGACTGAGTCAGTAATCATAATCCTCCCATCAGGAGAAGCTGAGGACCACATGGCTTCACTGCTGAATTCTTCCTAACATTTGAAGAAGAACCAACAAGCACATTTCTTCTCAAACCAAAAACAAATTGTAGTGGACTTCCCCCAAATTCAATCTCCAAAGGAATTATCACACTGATACCAAAACCACACAAGGACACAAAACAACACAGAAAGAAACCGCAGGCCCCTATCCATGATGGACAAAATACAAAACTTGTCAGCACTATGTTAGCAGAGAATCCAACACATCAAAGGGGGCGAGAATTGTTTCTTTGTAAGAAATACTGAGAATAGTGTGATGTTAGAGTTGAATCCAAATTCTACACTTTTTCTTGACATGGGCAAGATTTTCAGAGCTTTTGTAGGATCACAGTGACACTAAGAAGCTCCCATGACCTCCCTGCCCCACACAGCCCAGCCTTCCCCAAGATCGACACCTGCACAGAGTGCTACAGGGGTTAAAGAATGAACCAAGCTTGTTGCAGGAGGGCTCAGACCGAGACTGAGAGGGAACCTAAGCTTTCGGGAAGCAAGTTTATTAAGCAAGCCGGCAGTGACTCTGGAGGACTCCAGTCCAAAGTCTAAGCCCTGAGAACAAAGGGGTTTTCCTTATATCCCATTTAGAGCAGGTTACAGAAATGAGGTGGGGGTACAGCTTGTCCCATGCATAGTCACATGTTATTTATTAGACTCTAACTTGTCGGGCAAGGTGACCTTTCTCTGGTCTTCAGGTGACATTCCCCAACTCAGGTTTTCCTTTGTTTCACTGCAGCACTCATTATGTCCCTGCCCCCTTCCTGCCTTCCTGCCACAAACTGACACAGCCTTGTCACCAAACTCCACACTTTACATCAGGCCTCACTCTTGGTGCTGTGTATTCAATGGGTTTTACAACTGAGGAATGACTTGTCCCCATCATGATAGTATTCTAAAGAGTGATGTCAGTACCCGAAAAACCCTCTGTACTCTGGCTACTCACGCATTCCCCTCCCCCCATTCCTGGCAACTGATGGTCTTTTACTGTCTCCATACTTTTTCACTGTTTATAGAACGTGTGGCCTTAAGCGGCATTTTCAAATTGTTTGTTTCTCTCGGCAGTTGTCATGTTTGTTCTTTGAGGCAGAGGAAAATTAACTCATCTCTGCATTCATCTCCTGACATGGGTATTTTTGTTTATTGGTAGCACTGGAATTTGAACTCAAGGCCTGTGCTTATTAGGCAGGCACTCTTTACCACTTGAGCAATCTTTCAAGCCCCATAGATTTGTTTTTCCTAAAGAAATGATACCTTTTTGTTTCTTTCTCTCTCTCTTTTTCTCCTTTTGTGAGGCAGGATCTACTATGAATCACAAGCTACACTGAAACCTCCAATCCTCTTGTCTCTCTCTGCTCCCCTAGTGTTGGGATTACAGGTTTGTGCCACCACACCCTATGGCTATAGTGGTTTTTTTTTTTTTTTTTTTTTTTTGTGGTACTCAGGGCCTACACCATGAGCCACTCCACAAGCCTTTTTTTATGATGGGTTTTTTGTGATCGGGTGGGTCCTGCAAACTATTTGCCCAGTCTGGCTTCAAACTTCCATCTTCCCAATCTCTGCCTCCAGATTAGCTAGGATTACATGAGCCACAAGCAAATGGCTGCTGTTTTTCCAACAATATCAAAGTGATTCTCAGGCTGGGTATGGAGCTCAGCGGTAGAGCACTTGCCTGGATTGCTGGAGGCCCCAGTTCCATCCCCACATTGCAAGGAAAAACCTCCTAGTGTAGAACATAAAATGATTGGTCATTTGGTCTCACTGTATTTTCAAATAGGATTAAAAGTGGGAGCACTCCCTTTTCAGATACTTACAACATTCATCTTAGTACAACTTTAATTATTTAATGCTCATGTAAGTGTCTTGTATACTTGTTGTGCCTCATTTTCTGTGATTCCGTACACACCAGTTAAGCCTGACTCAGCAGGACAGTCCTGCAATCCCAGTACTCAGGAGGCAGAGACAGGAGGATAGAGTTCAAGGACAGTTTGAGGTACATAGGAGAGATTGTTTAAAAGAACAAAGCCACACATTGATGGTTGAAAAATGCTTTTTAATGTGAATTGTCTTTATTTTTTCTATTTTTATCTTTTGGCAGTACTGGGGTTTGAACTCAGGGGCTCACACTTGCTTGGCAGGCATTCTGCCTCATGAGCCAGTTAGCCAGCTCTGTTTTGTGTTGAGTTTTTTCTACATAGGTTCTCTTGAACTAATTGCTGGACTATCTTTGAACCACGATCCTCCTGATTTCTGCCTCCTGTGGAGAGTAGCTAGAACTACAGATGTAGCTAATGTGACTCATCTTTAAATCCAGAATGAAGAGAAACAGATGCTTGTTACACACTGGCCTGGTTTTCATCCACATCATAGAGCTCATGCCACAAGAGGTGAGTGTGATAAAATGAACATTGCACGTTTCTAGGCTGTAGACAGAGTGAGCAGAGAGCTTTATGCCCCTCACCCTTCCCATCATCCACTGCAGCAAGGACTCTACTGGTTAAAAAAACAATGGGCTTCCCTGACATCGTTAGGTGGGTTTTCACCTGCTGTGGTTTTTAGAAATGGGGCAGGTCCTGCAGGAACCCTGTGAACTGTGGTCCCAGATGAGAGCATGTGAAGAGGACCAGTATCCTGGTACATAGAGATAACTTCTGAACATTTTGAATTATTTGCTCAAATGGATTCTCTGTTGGTTCACAAAATGTGTTCTCTACCGCTGAATGTATTTATTTATTCACTTATTTCTTTGAGAAGGGTCTTAGGGTGATGCCCAGGCTGACCTCCAAGGTGCTGGCTCAGTGGACCCCCTCCTCAACCTTCCAAGTAGTGTGCACACTGCACCTGCCCAGATGTTTTAACTCTGGAACAAATTCATAATGTTGACATGAACAAACATCCCAAAACAGTGATATTTTCAGATTTTGCTTTTGCTAATATCAGGAACAGACTAAATGCATCCTGTCTCACGCTCAGGATTATGACAGTTACAGAGCAGAAAACCATCACCAATGGGGCACTGTGGATCAATATAGGTCCTTGAGTTTCACACCATTCCTGAGTCTTTCCCTTTCAGGGAGGGTCATGCCACTCAATTCTAGAGAAAGTTGAACAGCCAGTCAGCATAACTGGGTGAAGCTTTAGTAATCCAATCAGATGCTGCTTTCTGATTGAATAGAGGTTGTTAAAAAGGAAAGGTGCTTGTAGAAGTTTCAGAGGAGCTAAAGGAGAGAAGCAGAGTCCTGTAGCCTTGAGTCACTGTCTGGTGCTGAGATTCAGAGACCCCTGGACACCTTGTTCACATCTGGTAAGTAACACCCTTAGATAAGGACACCCAGACCCTAACTCAGCCAGGCTCTGCTGTGACCTTGCACCAGGACGCCACTGAGAATCTTATGATTTCTGCCTCTTCAGATGAACAAGTATAAGACTTTTTCTTTTTTGGAGGTACTAGAGCTTGAACTCAGGCCTCATGCTTGCTAGGCAGGCTGTACCACTTGGGCCACTCCTCCAGCCCTTTTCTGTTTTGGGTATTTTTTTTTTTTAATGTCACAAGGTAATGTGTCAATGTTCCAGCTATGTTTTAAGGGTCGCACGTGTCATGCAAAGGGGTAAACACTCAATTATCATGCTTATGCCCCCCAAAAAGAATCTCCTGATCTCTGCCTCCCTGGTAGCTAGGATTACAGGCATAAGCCATAGATGCTGGCACCCAAATATCTTGAGTGTGCTCTGGTTCTTGCCATTTTTAAACTTTGGTCATTGTTTTTGGTTTTGGAGAGAGTGTCAGGCTACATAGCCCCGGCTGACGTTGAAATCATGATTCTCCCCTGTTTGTTTCCTTAGGGCTGTAATTACAGTTCTGCCCCACCATACATGACTTTCATTTGTAAACTTCTCGTTCATTTGTTTTGTTTTCTAATACAGGACCACCAATTTGACTGGACTTTTATTACTTTGCAATTTAGATATTACTTTGTAGTCACTTAAAAAATTACAGTATATGACTCTGTGCTCCTGTGATTTTACATGTTAAATTCTTATTTATTTATTCATTCATTTAATTATCTTTCAAACTGGTTTTCACTACTCAGCCCAGACGTAACTGTAATTCTCATGGTCCTGCTTTCATTGCCCCAAAGGTCTGACTGATTGCAGGCATGGACATCCCCCCAGGATCTGTACCTCCTTTGAATTAACATTTAAAAGCCAGGCTGGGACCGGGCATGGTGGCTCAGCTGTAATCCCAGCTTTTGGGAGGCTGAGGCAGGAGGATCAATTTTGGAGGCCAACTGCAGATATAGGAAGAGACAGTGTCACAACAGGAGGAAGAACAAAAGAAAAGGAAAGAAAAGAAGGAAGTCTGAAAGCATTTTGCACAGGATTTGGCACCAGTGTCTTATGTATTAAATCTATCTATCTATCTATTCATTTATTTATGCATTTATGGGGATGAGGATACATTGCACCTCTCCTGAAGCCAAGCAAACCTTTTTCTCTGAGCTGTACCCCAGCCATTGCAGATTTTAAAGGTGGAACCCTGTTCTGACCCAGGCCTCTAGGCTCCTTTCTAAGGGCTCAGTGCTCCTAGGAGCAGGGCTGACCCATGGGAGTCTCTTCCACTATTGCAGAGCAATGACTCCTGTCCTCAGTTGGGTCCTTGGGGAGTAAGTAGGGATTTTCTTGTCCTTAGCCTGAGCAGGCATCTCCCTGGATGCTTTCCAGGAGCCTCTCATTACAGATCCTTCAGAATGAGCCTCAAGGCCATCCATCCTCCTGCAGCTGGCAGGGCAGAGCCTGCTAAGGAATGAAGCCCTGGCCATCTCTGCTCTGGAGAAACTGCCCATGGAGCTCTTCCCTCCTGTGTTCATGGAGGCTTTCATCAGGATACATGAAGGCCATGGTGCAGGCCTGGCCCTTCCCCTGCCTCCCCCTGGGTCCCCTGATAAAGACAAGAGACCTGGACACCTTACAGGTCACTCTGGATGGGATTGACATGCTGCTTGGCCAGCAATTTTGCCCCAGGTAAGTGTGACTCAAGAAATCCGGAAGGCAGGGTGCTGGGGTCTATGGAAGACTGAGCTGGGTGCATATAGAGAGGAGGGAAATGGTGGACTAGAGGCATCTGGTGGAGTCAAAGAAGATATTAGAAAGACCAGCTGGGCATGGGTGGCTCACGCTTGTAATCTAAGCTACTGAGAGGGCAGAGATCAGGAGGATAGCAGTTCAAAGCCAACCTGGGCAAATAGTTTGCAAAGCCCTATCTCAAACAAAACAAAACAAAATCACAAGAAAGGGACTGGTGTAGTGGTTCAAGGTGTAGGCCCTGATTTAAAAAAAAAAGGTATTTGGGAGCCAGGCCAGAGGTGCTGTTGAGCTCCACCTAGGAAAGGATTTCTCGGAGTGGAGGGTTGCTCAGGTGGATGCAGCAATGTCAGAAGGAGCACCTGTGTCCACCCACAGATGCTACAGGTGGGGACCAGACTGGATCCAATGGGAAAGGAGAGGAGAAAGGAAGCAAGAGTTCTGCCATGAAACCCAGTTGAGGAGCCTGGATGTAGCAAGCAAGGGGCCCAGAGACTGTGGCTCAATACTTACTAAGATGGAGACAAAATTGAAAGGACACAGGATGTCCAGGATGGAATAGAAGCACGGGTAGATGTTGGAATTCTTGACAAAATTCTCAGTTTCTCCCTATTTCTCCTCAGGAAGTGGAAACTGCAGGTGCTGGAGCAGCAGACCTTGCACCTGAACTTCTGGAACATGTGGTCAGCACACATGGCTGACGACTAGGGCCTACAGGTCAAAAGTAGGAACCAAGCAGTGGAGGTCACTCCTAGCACAGGGGTGAAGCAGCACTTGAGGCTGATAGCTGACCTTAGACTGGAGCTCAGTGACCTGGATGTGCTGCAAATGTACTTGTTTGAGTGGCTCCCACAAGGAAAGGGTTGATACAGTTGTGCAGAAGGAAGATGCAGATTTGGGGACTGTGCACCTGTGGCTCCAGGGCATGGCCTACCCACGGGGTCCTGGGCCTATTGGAGCTGGACTAGATGGAAGAGGTGGTCCTGCATTGTCCCTGGACCCTGTGCTCCCTGGGCATATTCGCTCTTTACCCGGGCCAGATGAGAAACCTACACAAACTCCTGATCTCTCAAATCTGTGTTGGTAAAACATACCTCCAGACAACTACAAGCAACTTGCAGCTACCTTCACTTCTCAGTTTGGCAAACTTGGCTGTCTAAAAAAGTTCAGTATGAGAACTGCTTATTCCTCCACAGCCGCCTGCAGCAGGTGCTCAGCTGAGGACTGCTGTGTGGAGCAGAGTCAAGACTTCCCAATGTATATATCCTGGTGGATGGCCTGGCAAGAATCACCATGCTAGCACTATGGCAGGCAGGTGTAGGGTGGGTGGGCTGTGAATTCTTCTGTAGGAAGTGTATCTTCCTTAGTCTATCTTGTAATATGGACACTCATAGCCCATCAATACCAATGAGGACACTTCAAGGTGGATGATCTGGAAAGAGTTACCATGGTAGGAAGCCAGCTATAGGGGGATGGACATGAATTCTTCCCTAGGAGGTGTGTTTAAGCTCAGGTGGTGGAAATAGGAAGGAGAAGGGGCACTGAAGAAGGGAAGCACCTCACACCTACCTGTGTCACTATGGGAGCTCTGAGCTCCCCAGGTGTTTGACCAGGAAGGAGCCTATCTCTAAGTGCCCTTCTCTGAATGGTGGTGTTGCACTCAGGGCATGCAGTGATGGGAATTGTGTGGCACTGGAGTTGACAGAAGGAGGAGTGAAGAAAGGGGACAGTGACAGATGCTATGCTGGGGATGCAGGGAGGAGTGAGCCACACAGGAAGTAACACCAGTGAGGTCTCCAGATCTTGCTTGGGTTTGTCATTCCTACAGGTCACTGGCCAGAGAGGAGGCATTGTGTGTGACAGTGAGGAAAGGGTGTTGTGGAGGTGGGGCCATGAGCCAGTCGCACTGTGATGGTGAAAGACCTCAGCCCAGGATGGGGTGACTAGAGAATGTGCTCCTTAACGTGATATCCTTGCTATTGACTGCGTTCAGATGGTCAGATCCACCATGGGTGTGGGTGGGAAGGTGGTGCTCTCTGACCTCAAGGTTATTTCTGACCCTCCTACATTAGCCAGAACTAACTGCTTGGTCTGTCCTCAGGTGCCTGAAGACCCTCTTGGTGTCCTTGTCAATAACTCACTGCCGGCTTGCACATCCAGGTGTCTGAGCATCTGCCAGGTGAAACACCTGGATCTGAGAGGAGTCCCACTGATCTCTGAATGTCCTGAGCCCCTCCAAGTTCTATTAAAGTTGCAGACACACTGAAGACCCTGGACTTGGAGGACTGTGGGATCTGGGACTCCAGCTCACTGCCCACCTGCCTGCCCTGAGCCACTGCTCCCAGAATACCAGGTCCAATTTCTTTGGGAACTACATCTCCATGTCTGTCCTGAAGGACCTGCTGTGCCACACTGCCAGGCTGAGCCATTTAAGCTAGAAGCTGTACCCTGCCCCTCTGAACAGTTATGGTGGGCTGGGGTTGTGCAAACAGGGACAGTTTCCCAACATTGTGTTGAGCTCATGGATACACTGAAGGCTATAAAGCAACCCAAGATGGTCTTGTTTGATATTAACCCCTATCCTCATGGAGCAGCCTCATGTTGGCTGCTTGCCTAGTTCATTGCAAATATCAAGCTTTCTTCTGGGTACTGGTCAATGGATAAAGGCCAATGCCTAGGGAACACAGAACACATAATTTCTTTCCCATTGGTGTGGGAATAGTAAAGGTGATGGAGTGGGGTTCAGATTTGAGTGGAACAGATTGAAGTAGGAAGAAATGGGATCTTAGGACATGTGTCTTAAGCAGTCAGAAATCTGAATCAGAATGTGCAGATGTGGCTTCAGGCTGGAGAGGTGCATGGGGGCGTTGCTGTTTCATGGATGTCCATAGAGAAATGGTCAGAAATGAAGAGAATCTTGAACTTTGATGCAAATCCTCCTCACTTCCATGGCAGATCCACCTGGATTACAGTGTAAAAGTCCTGTGATTGTAGGGAAAGCAAATGCCCTGAGCTCTGCATCAGTGAGGCTGAAGCCCAAGACCTTGTGACATCAACAACTAAGACCCACGCTGATCACTGCCTTCCATTCGTCCTTCTCTCTGGGCACCTGTGGCACCTTGTGTGTGTGGATGGTCAGTGGTTAATGCATACAAGGTTGACAGCTGAAGTGAGTACCTCAGACCCACTGTAAAGGATAGAGGGAATGGAATCCAGGCTATGGGGGACCACAGGCAAAGCCATGGGACTGAGGAAATGTGAAGGACAAAATGCATTAAAGAAAATGGGATCAGATGTAGTGGCTAGCACCTTTAAACTTAGCTACCCTGGAGGCAGAGATCAGGATTGGTTTAAAGCCAGCCCAGACACAAAGTTTTAGAGACCCTATCTCGGAAATACCCAACATAAAAAAGGACTGGTAGAGTGACTCATGAGATAGAACTCTGCCTAGCAAGCACAAGGCCCTGAGTTCAAACTCCAGTGCCACACACACAAACACACACTCACTCACACACAAAGGGGAGTATCAGTCACATTTCAGTGGCCATATTCCTTGGAGATCCCAACTGTTTGCCTGCCTACCTGCACCCAAGGCCTCCAATACATGGACAAATATTCACCCCTGTGCTGAAGGTTTTACTGTGCAAATGAACTGATAGTGGACTGGAAGGATCTTACCTTTGCAATTCTGTCTCGTGTCTTTTGATAATTTGATTTACACAGATAGCAATAACACAGTCTTGGCTGAGAGTTCTCTACAGATGTTTCCTCCTAAACTTGGCCAATTGAAATGGAAGAGATTCCCACCATGGAGGCAGACATGCGCACACAGACACCACACACTCAAGGGTCTCCTCTCCTTTTACACCTTGCTCAGTTGATCCCATTGGAAGAATATTTGACCAGACCAGGGAGGGGAACTCAATATCCCCTTCAAAATTCTAAACCCCATCCACACAAAACCCCTTCAAACCTTCCACCTCCTGTGCCTACAAATAAAACTAGTTACAGATAACACAACTGCTCACTGCAAGAGTGGGGAGTGGGCCCTTTTTAACCCCAACTTTCAATCCTAACAAGGCTAGAAGTAAAATTCTCAAATCTGCAGCCTAGGTCACCCACACCTTCCATTCCTCTAGAAAAACAGCATAGATGTAGCAAGTCCTGGCTCTGCTGTTTGAGGAGGGGCTGAGATAGGCCACAAGTAGCACAGCCAGAACCCCAGCTCTGGACCGTGGTGGTCCTGTGAGGCAACAGGTCATGGCCTGTTCTTTCCTCTATTTTACTTGAGAAGATTGGAAGGAAGCAGGATATGGGATTCAGCAGTGGGCCCAGGGTGTTTTGCATTCAGTCGTCTGCATGCATGAGTGATTCAGCACCTCTGAGTCTTCTGCTTAGAGAATAGTACTTGTCATCTCTTCAGGTTCATTATGACAAAAATCTTAAGATTCATTGTAATGAGAAAAACGTCACCTAAGTGTAGTGGACTCTGCATTAATAGAGAGTCTGAACCAAAATCTGGTTCATGGGACAGATCTGAGGTCTTATGAAGAGGATCAGATGTAAGGCACCAGTGCTTACTGAGACAGGCAGGTGCTGAATTGCTTAGTAGCCACTGCCTGAGTCAGTCTACTGTGGCCACCAGGCAAGGGAGGGAGACAGGGAGTCTTGCCCTCTACCTGTACAGTTCTGTGTTGAGGGTGAGCCCAGAACTCTGCAAGTGAGATTTGATCTTCACTGGGAAGGAGCTAAGCATGACAAATAGCTTTCCTTAAAAGTAGCTCATTTCCTGAAACCTAGTCTTTACCAATGACTGGGACTAAAGAAGCAATTCAATCCACTGGGTCTTGCTTGGTAAATAATACCTTAAAACTATAAGGGCAGAAAGTCAAGGGCAGAAATAGAAAATCATTTAGTGTATTGTAGAACACTGTCATTATGGCTTTAGGTAGAGCACTTCAGAGGGTCCACACTGCCTCACATCAAAGCTGTTGTGACAATGACACACCAGCAAACCACCCAGCCTCTTCTCAATCCCCTGTGTGGTGACTGCTGTCCTGTGGTGCTGGCTTCCCAGGGCCTCAGTGGCAGCAGCAGCTGATCCAAGCTGCTGGGGGCAGGGAGAGACCTGGGTTGGGGCAAGGGCTTCCAGGTCCTGATCAGAGCAGGGAAGACTGAGGCTCACTGCTTTCGGAACCAGTGGCTTTAAAGGATGGCTTTGGGACCTGGATAGGCTTCTTCCTCACCCCAGAGGTCATCAGCTTTGGGATCTCCATGAGCTACACATCTCAGGGTAGGTGACAGGTGGAGCTGGAGGCCTCCTCGGGCCTGAGAGGATCCAGCATCCAGTAACAGTGGCATTCCTGGTCATGGTCAGAGTCATAGGGTGGGGTCAGGATGTGCAGGAAGCCAGCGGTCTTGGCCACAGCACTGACCTGGTGCTGGTTGTGCATGTGTGTCATGAGGATGCAGGCCTTGGTCTGGGAGCACAGGACTTCACATCACAGGGCCTCCATTTCTAGGGCCTGCAGAGTGGCTCGCCACCTCCAGCTGGTCCACGCAGCTGAAGCACACGGTGCCGTGGAGCACATTCAGAACTGTGTTCGTGTCCAGGTGGTCCTGTTGTGGGGTGCCACACTGCTTGCAGCAGGAACATGCCCAGGCTGAAGCCATCAGTCCCACAGATTCATGTAGGTGACCCAGGGCAGGTGGGGCCACAGTGGATGCAGTGTGGTCCTGCCTGGGAAGACATAGAGGTCCTGGGTGTGGACACAGGCCACCAGACTTTCGGCATGCTTAAAGTTCTCCATGAAGTCAGGCAGCATTGGCACCCCTGAGCTCCAGACCAACCAGTGGTGGGCAGTACTGTAGTCCCTGCTGCCTGGGATGGTAATGCTTTCCTAGTAGATGACCCTCTCTGATCAAGAGCCAGGCTGTCAGGGTGCAGGCATGGCTGTGCCTCTGTGCAACACAGCAACCACATCCCATTCTTCACCCCTTGAGGACCCCTCCTATCCACTCTGTGTTGCTGTGGCTGTCCCCATCTGTGAGCCAAGTCCCTAGGCCCCACAACTACCTGCCCATTAGACCAGAGCCTCTACCAACTTCAGCAGCCAGGCTCAGCAACCCACAGCCCATCCATCTATTTATCCATCCATCCATTCTTCTATCTACTTGTGTATGTATGCATGGATTCACCTTGAGCAGGCTCTCATTATACAGCACAGGCTGGCCTCCCACTTGTAATCCTCCTGCCCACTCATCCCAAAATTGGGATTATAGGTGTGTGCCTCTGGACCCAGCTAAACATTTATTTGGTAGTAATGTCCATCATATAAAATAAGGCGAATTCATTTCATTTTACATTTTATAAATCCATTGAGAAGTTTTGGGTCCCTCTGGAACCTCTCCAATTTAGTTAAGTACAAAAAGGACTTAATGTAGGCTTTGATCTAGGGATAGTTGTCAAAAGATTTAAACACTCCATGAAAGTGGCATCATGGATAATTATGAAATAAGTCATTCATAAATCAAAAGTGTGACAATTAACAGATTTTAGAAGGAAATGTACAATGTGACCCACCTAGTAAAAGAAACACATGCCTTCAATTTTTAACAGAGATCAGAACAGGCTAGATCAGGGAAAATGAGGCACGGGAAACAGGAGCTAGGGACTCAGAGATCAAATTACAGCAATGATTTGTTTGATTAGAAGCACACAGGCACCAATTTCTTTGCTTTAAATTTCATACTCCCTCATTAATCTGCAACATACATTTAACAATAAGTAAATGAAAGTTCTCTCCCTGTCATGCCACCTTGCCTGAAGAATTAGTACACATTGGGAACAAAGCAAGGATGTCTAAAGACACTCATCTGGGGAAAACCATTTGTTGATGTGACTCCCAGGATCACAGAATTGTTTGCTGTGAAGGAAAAAATAATCTTAAGTAAGGGTGCCTGGATTAAAAGAGTATCTGATGAAACACATCTTCATAAATATCTTATAAAATAGAATTACTGCTTACAATTTACTCAATTTTAGTAAAAATGTCTAGATTACCTTCAAAAAGTCTTATGACACATTTGACTCAACTTCAAGTTATAAAGTAATAAAATATCAGGCAATATAAAAAATATAAGACAGGGCTAGTGGAGTGGCTCAAGTGGTAGAGGGCCTGCCTAGCAAGCAAGAGGCCCAGAGTTCAAACCCTGGTACTGCTAATAAAAATACATATGTATCAGAGAAGCAAAGACACTGAAAAGTTAAGTTTGACAGTAGACTCTTGTCGTCAGCCATCTGGGGTTCTGAGACCACTGTTCAGGAAAAACTGGGCAACTCAGGATGCAGAGTTCAGTGATGCACTGGGGATGCTTGATGCATTTTTCTAAGACATGCTGTCTTTCAACAGATCTCAGATTTTCAGTTTATGACTTAAGTTAAACACATTGACTTTTCCTTTTCCTTTAGGGTACCATTTAGTTTTGGGAGTGAGATTCTCACAGTATTAATGGCGGGCAAACACAGATCACACAACAATTTAACCACAACTGACATTAAGGCAGGACTGACTGGGCTTCTCTGCATCACCTGAGCTGCATGAGCGGGAATTTCCATTCACATGCTGGAAATGTCTTTGATTTTTATTACCTACTATTTACTCTTGCAGTAGTTGGTCAAAACCAAGTACAATAAATCCACAAATAAGGAGGGCTTAATCTACATGGGTTTTTTCCTTTCTTATTGTCATGCCTGACAACTATGAAGACTGGAGTCACAGTTTGATGGCATTATAAAATTAGCAAAGACAAGCCTGGCTGTAAAACACACCCAGTTAAATGGATGGTGACAATTCCAAAGACATTTAAACGTTTTACTTTATCCATAATTTAGAAACCAATTGCAAAATCTTTATGAAAAATCCAGGATTTAATCAGGCACATGAACTCTTAAAACATTTGGATAACTTACTATAGTTTTGACCAAATAGTTTTCCTACCAGGCAATTAAATACTTTCATATATCATATAAATATGTTATAGAGACACAGAAACTTACATATGAATAAAACAATGATCTTACAGATTTCATTTTAAGATTTTTACTTATGATTCAGATTAATAGTTATGCAAAGTCTTGGTTTTCAAAGAATAGTGGGATTAAATTTCTATTTCTGAAAAATGAGTCAAATTGAGGCCATGTTTTTGCTTGGCTAAAGCTTTAAGATTTTATTTTATTTTTCTTGACAGGTAATTTTAAGAAGACTGTATGACAAATACTGCTGATACAGTTTCTAGAGCAGATTTGTTTTAAAATGCAAAACTGGGATGGAGCTCCATGGTAGAGACCCTGGCTAGCGTGCACCAGGCCCTGGGGTTGATCCTAAGCACTCAAAACACATAAAATGGACAAAGTGTACAAGTAGAAACCGATGGAGGGCAACACTCCTCTGAGTCTGTCCAGGTGCCACTGGGCTCCAGGCTAGAAAATCGGTACCTTTTATTGGGAAGACAGACAAAGGTACCAATCTGGACATTATGGCAAGGCCTTAAGTCCCTCAGTACCTGCCCCAACTTCACTCGAACCTGGGCAAATCTCTCACTGTCAATAGTATCCCAATCAGGGTCATAGCTTTCCAGAGGGGCAGGATACAGTGCTCGCCTTAACTGGCTCAGCCTGGCAGTGTGTCTCAGCAGGTTCTCCAGGGTGACCATGGAGATGCGGTTGCCAAAGAAACTGAACATGGTGAGCTGGGAGCAGCAGCTCAGGGCGGGCAGGATGGCATCAAGCTGGGAGTCGGTGATCTCACACTCCTCCAGGAGCAGGCTCTCCAGGGTGCCAGCCAGTGTCTCTAGCAGAGCTCCAAGGAGCTCTAGTCTCAAGTCTTTTAAAGAACAGTCCTGTAGGTGCAGGTACTTGAGCTGGCTGGTGCTGGGACACTGGGACAGGTGCCTCAAGTCTGAGAGCTTTAGTGGGGTTGACCTCAAAGAGAGGATCTCCAAGGGTGTCTGGCTCCTGAGGAGAGAGCAGAGTTAATTCTAGTGAATGGAGGTGGTGGTGAGTGGAATGACATGAACATGAACTCCAGAAGAACTTGTCAGTAAAGGTGGTTCTGACCACCTGATGAAGGTCAGGCCCCTGGAGACTGTGTGCTGCAGCCTCTGCTCACTCAGTCCTCCATTCTAGGCTAAGGACTTTCACGGTCACAGTGGAAATGGCTCAGTGACCATCTCCGCAATGCCCTTTCTTCCTCATTGGGGTTCCCACCTGAGGTCGCTCACCCTCTGTGTCCTCAGCAATGCATCTTCCCTATTCACAATTCCTCACACCGGCTTTTCATCCTCAAGCCCAGAGTCACACACCACCCATTACTCCATCTCCTACCTGGGCTCCAAATCACCTTCCAGAGAAGGCTGGTCCCCTTCCACAGCTGTGAGCACAGAGCTCCATGGGAAGCTGTGCAGGTGTAGGGACCTCCCTCCTCCAGTGTCCCTTCTCCTTCTTAGTTCCACCACCTGGGCTTAGGCATGCTTCCTAAGGAGAATTCACAGCCTTCTCACCCTGGGTCTGACTTCCACAGCTGGCTTCCCCTTATGGGGTCCTGCACAGAACCCCAACCCCAGTGTAGCCAGTGCACCTCAGGGATGGCTGTGTAAGGCCAGAATTCAAGGAGGAGCACTGGATCAGTCAATGCATTCCCTTTCTGGAGCCTCCCTCACCGTCTCATGGCTAGATCCTGCCATAGGACAGATGGCCTTTCACAGCTACTGTAACTGAGAATGGCTTTGGTCAAGAAGCAGAAACAGCTTTCCATCCTCCCTCACCTGAGTGCCTCGTGCAGTTTTCCAAACGGGAAGAAGTCATGATGGACACGGAGCCTATTGGCCTCTTCCATCATTTTGAAGAGATAGATGATTAGGGAAATACGGCACGGGTTTCGTCGGCCATAAGGATATAATCCATCTCTTATCAGGTTGAAGGAAAATACACGAAGGTTACTCATCCTGCTCAAGTAAGGAACAAATTCCATCATGATCCTCTGATTCCAGATATCATCCACCTTCAGCTCCTGGATGTGCTCCAGCTGCACAGCATGCAAGACCTCCTGCACTCTATAAATGGAGCCTGTCCTAATATGGAGCTTCATACAGCACAGCTGGAGGAAATCTTTTCTCTTCTTGGCCCACCGCAGGAGGGGGGCTTGGAATTCATCTTCGTAGAATAGATCATGGATGCAGATGTCTATAAATACCCTCATGGGCTGCTTCGCTACCATCCCTGCACCGTGAATGGCTGCTCCCTGATCAGTTAAGTCCTCTGCGGAGCAGGCATTGGCAATGGCCATGTAGCCCTTAGTCCAGACGTCCTGCTGCTCTTTCCGCAAATCCAGCACTTGCAGTTTGCACCTCCTGAGGGGAAACAGGACAGAATCTAAGAAAACAGGCAAAGACTCACTCCAGTCTGCACTTTTATTCCTCATTCTGTCCATCAGCTGCTCCCCAGATTCTCTGTCTTCCTTTCATCCACCTTCTTTCCATTGAGCCAGTCTAGTCCCCACTTCCTAGCACCTGTGTTCGGATGCAAGTAGAGGCTCCTGCCATCCCTGCATCTGTCCTAAGTTGTCCTCCACCCAGGAAGCCCTTTCCCAGGTGTCCCAAGCCCCTGGCTGGAGCCCTCAGAAGCCTGTGGCCTGTTCTTCACCTCCTGCTTTACCTGACCCCAGCTAACTCTTCTCTTGATTTCAGGTCCTTGCTTCTATGGCACCTGGGTCACACACACCTGGGGCGAACCTGCCGGACAAGCAGCATATCAACCCCATCCAGGGCAATCCGTAAGGTTCTCAAGTCTCGTGTCTTCATCATGGTTCCCAGAGGGAGGCAGGGAAAGGGCCAGGCCTGTACCATGGCCTTCAGGATGTCAGTGCTTCTGCAGGCAAAGGCCTCCTTGAAGAGCTGAAGGAAGAGTCCTGGAGGCAGGCTGTCTACAGAAGAAACAGCCAAGGCCTGGTTCCTTAGCAGGATCTGCATGGACAGCTCCTGGAGTGTGGGTGGGGCCTCGGTGCTCATCCCGATGGGTCTACAGGGAAAAGAATCCTGGCAAGCATCCAGGGTGAGGCATCCGTTCAGTCCATCGCTGGAAACCACTTCTCACTAACCAAGTGCTAAACTGAGGGTAAATTCACTACTTTGGCAATGGTGGACCAGACCTCAGTTTACCCCACTTCCACTCAGTACGTGGTGCCCACAAAGCCACCACTCAGGGACAGCAGGTGGCAAGGTAAGCATCATAATAGCACAAACCTGGAACCAAGTTTAATCCCTAGTCAATCCATTTCCCACCCGTGCTCCTCTGAGGTCCAGACCACCTGGGAGGGGCCCAAGGAGCTAGAAAGCTCACTCTACCATTTTGTTCTAAGGTTTCTGATTCTAAAACAAAGGCAAGGGAAATCCCATGTACCCACCCTCCCTACATTCTGTTCTTTCTGTGTCACCCTGACTGAAAGTACTCAGGAGACAAGAAAATGGTGCTATTTTTTTCCTTCTAAAGTCCTTAAGTGACTGTAGAGCCATGGAGCAGGGGAGGCAGCATGTAGGAGACGCTGACTGGGGTGAAAACCCTGAGCCTACGGCGAGCTCTGAGAGGGACATCCTTACGCACCAGCCCTGCTCCTAGGAGCACTGAGCCCTGGGTCAGAACAGGGCTCCTCCTTTAAAGTCTGCACAGGCTGGGGTGGAAATTGGTGGCAGAGGGTGGCTACCAATTTCCACCCCAGGGCTGCATGTAGGCCCTGGGTTGAATACCCATTACCATAAAACGGAAATAGAAGTGTTAACAAAACAAAAACAGAAACACAAGAAAATTAATAATCAGTGAAACAAGGAATCCACAGGGAAAAAAAACCTGGTGGAAAAATGTAAAGAATATTTTTAAGCTGACTTTTTATGTCTCAATCCTCCTCCCCCAAAAAACCTAACAGCTGAACTTACAAAACTACAAACCACCACATTCCTGAACTATCATAGAAAGGAATAGGGAGTAATTAAACTAATTATTTCATTTGTAAAACATAAAATTCCATGCTCAGCCTGGTGGCCCATGCTTGTAATCCCTGCTACTGGGAGGCCAACATCGGTAGCACTGAGTTTCCAGGCAAAATTAGGGTGATTTCATCCCTTAAGCAAATGCCTGCTGTGGTAGCAGAGTCTGTAATCCCAGCTACTGGGAGGCGTGGGTAGGAGGATTGGGGTCCCAGGCCAAGACTCAAATAATAGCATGAGACAGTCCCAAAAATAGCCAAACCGTCTGGATCATGGCTGAGGGGTGGAGAGCTGGTAAGGAAGGGCTGGGCCCTTGGTAAAAAAAAAAACTGCAGTATTGCCAAAGTATAAAATAAATAATAATTCCCATTTTAAATTAAAATCTTCACTTCAATTGATGATTTCTGTTTTAAAAAAATAACTTAAAGAAATTTAAAATGGCAGAACTGACTGCACACATTTGGTTTTGGGGCAAAGTTGCACCTAGAGTCCAAACTAAGTCTTAAAATTCCTCATCTGAAGAGGCAGAAATCCTAAGGTTCTCCCTGGCCTGCTGGGCCCAGTGTCACCACTGAGCCTGGCTGGGAGGGTCTGGAGTGTCCTGTGGAGGGGAGTGACTTACCAGATGTGGACCAGATGCCCAGGGCTCTCTGAATCCCAGCAAGGCCAGGCAGTGACTCTGGGCTGAGGAATCTGCTTCTCCTCTGTGACTCTGAAACTTTACTGGACTTTCCACAAGCACCTCCCATTTCAACTCCTCCTGTCCAATCAGAAAACAGCATCTGATCACATTCCTGAAACTCCACCCAGTTAATCCTAAATGGCTTTTCCTGAAAGGAAAAGAATTAGGGAGAGCTTGAAGGTCAAGGAGGCCTTCCCTGATGCATTCCACACCATGGTTGTGATTTCCTCTTGTGTGACCCCTGTATTCCTACGTGTGAGCAGGAAGGTGCTGGCTCTGCTCCTGACAGTCTGGATGCAGTTCAGGGTAGATTAATTACAAGACCCGTAATTAATACGAAAGATATATATATCTGTTTTTTAACATGGACAAAAGGACTTGGCTAAATCCACATTTTAAAAAATGCATCAAAGCCAGGCACTGGTGGCTCTCGCCCGTAATGCTTCTTACTCAGGAAGCAGAGATTAGGAAGACTGTGGTTGGAAGACAGCTCAGGCAAATAGTTTGTGAGATCTTAGCTCAAAAAAACCCCATAACAAAAAAGAGGTTGCTGGTGGAGTGGCTCAAAGTGTAGGCCCTGAGTTCAAACCCTAGTACCACAAAAAAACCAAAAAAACAAAAACAAAAAAAATGCACCCAAACCAAGCCAGGGAGTGTACTCAGTAACCCCAGCTGACTGGGACCCTGAGTTCCATCCCTAGAACTCAAAGAAAAAAACAAATGGCAGTAGACTGTCATTGACAATGACTTGGTGATGGTGTTGCTTCAATTTGAATGATTTCTCAGCTAACTCTTTCAGTCCCTGGAATATTTTCATTTTATAGTAGGATGCTACCTTATTTGAGAAAAGAAAAAAATTGAACTACTTTGGTCGAGCTTTAGCTCTCAGGTAGAGCATTTGCTTAGCAGGAGAGATGTCCTGGATTCCCTCCTCAGCACTCAACAAACAATAGCTTGTGAAACTTTATATTTCAAAGAGAAATTAGCAATATAATTCTGTGTATTCTTTGCTTGCATTCTATGGAGTACAAGGACTGCTCTATTAAAACTGAGAAGTGTTCTGGCCGAGACACAGCAGAGCAGCAGGACACGGGTCATCCTCACAGGCTCCATCCTGGACCACAGCTCACAAGGACCTGCAGAGTCCACCCCAGGTCTAAAAACCACAGCAGGAGAACACCACCCCAACAATGGCAAGGACCCCATTGCATTTTTAACCTGTAGAACCCTTGCTGCAGTGGATAATGGGAGGGGTGAGGGGCATAAACCTCTCTGCTCACTCTCTCTACAGCCCAGACACGTGCGATGCTCATTTCACTACTCTCACTTCTTGTTGCATGAGCTCTGTAATGTGGACGAAAACCTGACCCAGTGTTTAACATGCATCTATTTCTCTTGATTCTGGATTTAAAGATCAATCACCTTAAAAAGCACTTTTAAAACATCAGCATGTTTGTTCTTGTTGTTGTTCTTTTCTTTGTGTTTTTGTTTTTCCAGGCAAGGTCTCCTATGAAGCTCACTATGGCCTTGAACTCTATCTGCTTGCCTCAGCAATGGATTGCAGGGCTGTCCCACCAATGCCGGGTTTAATCGCTCTGTTTTGAATCACAGGAGATGCAGGGCTTGGTGACTCATGCCTGTAATCCTAGCTACTCAGGAGCCAGAGATAAGGAGGATCACATTTGGAAGCCAAGCCTGGGGAAATAGTTCCTGAGACCCTATCTCAAAAACATCCAACACAGAAAAGGACTGACAGATTGGCTCAGGTATGAAACTTTGAATTCAAACACTAATACCCCATCCTCCTAAAAACAGAACCATAGGAAAGAAGCATGCATGGGTTTGGATTTATGGCAGGCCTGTTCCCCTGGGCCTCTCATTCTGTCCCATGCCAGAGCAAACTGTGGCTCTGAACTGTTGCCTGGCTTTTGCCTGTAGGCTGCTGTCACTAAAGTGCATTGAACAGTGGGGAGAAAGGAAACCATGGCACAGTCCACAGACACTCTTCAGTGAGTGTTTAAGTATTAATGCTGCATTTAGGTGAATTTTGTGATTTTCTGAGAGAGCTCCAGCATTTTTTTCAAAAATATACTCAAGATAGCAAGTAACCCCATTATTATATTACAGTGGGAGACTTTTTGTTCTTGCCATGTGGGGATGGAAGTTGGGGCCTCCAGGAAGCTAGGCAAGTGTTCTACCCCTGTGCTCCATTCTCAACCTGAGAATCACTTTTACATTATTGGAAAGAAAAACAAACAAACAAACATTGCTGCAGAGTGTGGTGGTACATGCTTGTAAACCCAACACTGGGGAGGGAGGGGCAAGAAGATAGGAGTGTCACTTCACCCTGTGCTTCATAGGAGATCCTGCTTTGGAGAGAGAGAGAGGTGGGAGGGAAGAAGGAAGAAAAAGGAGGGAGGGAGGGAGTTAGAGAAGGAGAGAGAGAACAAAACAGAACAAAAAACTAACATGTTTTTTAATGAAAAACAAATCTATGGGCCTAGGAACATGGCTCAAGTGGCCGGGCACTTGCCTAATGAGCACTATAGGTGGAGATTTTCCAGGAGCTCAGCTCCACTTATTTTTCCCTCCTTCACTGGATCTTCCCACTGGTCACCATGGCGGTTGCCAACTGGCATTGCACTGTAGATTTGGGATGCAGATTGTTCATAAAGAACATTTAGGTTTCTGCAGCTCACTCTGCCAACTGAAGATGTTCTATGAGGATCAAGCAGTTCTGTCTAGCTCATCAGAACAGGACCTTCTGGCCTTCAGGCATCCTGTACTCAAGATAAACTAGATTAGTTTATCTAAACTAAATTAAATTAGTATCTAAACTAAATTAAACTAGATTTGTTTATCCAGCCAGGCCTGGGTTGGGTAAAAATTTGGCAAGGTCACCTAAGCAAGACGAAGGGTAACAGATCTACAAAGCTCAAAGAATTCCAATCAGACCCAAATTATAAGGTAAAAGTGAGACCCAGAGTACTTAGGGGACCAAACTACACCCTAGAAGAAATGGACACTGAGAGAACATTCCTCCACAACAGCAGAATCCACGTTCTTCTCAACAGCACATGGAGCATCTCCAAGACAGATCGTTTGTCAGATCACAAAACAAATCTTCACCAATTTAGGAAGAGTGAAATCATTTCAAGTACCTTTTCTGACCATAATAGGGTAACACAAAAAGTCAGTAGCAGGACCTCCACAATGTGAGCACTCGGGAGGGAGCAGCAGGAGGACCCTGAGTTCAAGTGTAGCCTGGGCAGCTGATCGAGTTCCAGACCAGCCTGAGTTATTTCGTGATACCAGAAGAGGAACTTCAGAGGGATGGAGGTGTGGC